TCCAGGCCAGCGGTCACTCTTTCAGGGATGAAGATGTGCACATCCTGGATAGAGAGGAACGATGGTTTGAGAGAGGAGTAAAGGAGGCCATCTTTGTGAAAAGAAATCATCCATCATTAAACAGGGGTGGAGGCCTACGTGTTCAATTGTTCCCCTCTTAAAATGCTGTGATTGCTAGTATCACTCAGCCCTCTATGAATAGTAAACAGCCATCAGTGTGCTAATGATCCATTGTTAGGCTGATGGTCCTTCTTGAGCATGTGATCAGCTGGTTTTGGTTGTCAGTAGCAAAACTGGTTGATCCACTCTGAGAAGGTGCTATTTAAGAGACTGAGCTGAATACAGCACCTCAGACTGAGGAAGTCTCTCGGATGAGAAATGAAATGTTTCTACATTTTTTTGTTGTTTTGCTTTGTTTTTTTGTTTTTTTTTTGAATGTCCAGAGGACCAGATTTAACTTTTTTTTAGATTTTTCTACCTGGATTATTGAGCATGCATCAGGATGTAAGGGGGTTAAGTTTAGGGTCAGTGCTCTGGGTCATGTGTAAGGTTAGGTTTATGAAAAGGGTTACATAAAGCTCACAAAACCAAAAACCCTTCCTGTTTTACCCGCGTGCGACGCTGCATATTATCAGTGATACAAATGAAACATTAAAACTGCTAAGAGGTAGGAGGGACCATAACGTCCATTTAATGGGCTGATAACATCCGACACCGCTGTGTGAATTTTTGTGGCAGAGATCAAGCTCCAGTGTGTCTGAAGTGACTGACAGAAATGTGCTCGAACAACAAAAACATCTTGGCAACACCCTTCACACCTGCTGAAGCTCTGAGTCACATGGGCTGAATGACTCGTAGCGAACGAGACAGATTAATGGAACAAATGGCACATTTGACCTGCCCTCTTGGTCCACTTACAAATAAGGAAAATTGCAGCACTTTGCAACAAATAAGCCAACTGTTCATTGATTGTACAGCTCCATTAATGTGCAGCTCTAACGTGAGAAATACACACAATGTTCTTCCATTTGTTTGCAAATGTAGGTGGAGATCTGTTGAGTTGTACTGTGAGATTTATCAATAGACAGTGGTGGTTATTTCTTTTATCTTTGTGCATTTGCATTTCTAAAAGTAGTGTCTGACAATGAGGTCTATGGATCAGTGGTAGATTAATAAAACAAGAAAAAATATCAGAGCTGCTGCTGCAGCCGACTAGCCTCCAACTGTTGCCGTTCCGTGACCTTAGGCAATGATGTAAGGCCTTGAGCAAGAAAAAAACCTGACTGTTCAATTCAAAGAAACATTTTTAAAACCTAACATTTGACAACCCATAACTATTTGTTTTATAACTAAAGTACAAATAAGTTGTTTTTTTGTTTTTTTTATGGAAAAAAGACGAGAACCAAAACTTTTTTTGGCCTAGACTTAGCGTTTTTTTAGCTAGCCTGGTTTACGCAACACTTTGTTTGACTGAAACCAGAGCTCTTCTGAGGCAGCTCGGCAGTTGACAACAGCCCTTGTTCTCTCTGAAATCAAAGGTTTCTGAATCCTGGTCTCAGAGTGGATGGTTTTAGGGGAACCCCCTCAGAGGTGTGAAATACGCTGTGTGAAATCGCACATGTCCACTCCAGACGGCTGCAGTCCAAAGTTTTTCTGCTCTGACAACAGCTCCAATAAATGTCAGAGAGCAGAGTGTTTCTGTTACCCTTTGTCAGCATGGAGGAACAAACCAACAACATCCTCGGTCCAAAGGAACATTCATGTATTCACCAGTTTGGATGCAACTGTGGTCATGCTGACACTGCATGCATGATTCAGGGGCATGCATAAAGGTTGCCAGATAAGCATGAATATGTATTTTTACCCCCTACTTTTCTGTGCACATGTTCACCGAACACAACACACATCCCATCTTACAACACACCCACTCAGCACAGATGACAGTCTGAGTCAAAATACAATCATTTTAAAGCAACAGTACAAAAGTTCTTTTCTGGCAACACTGCCTGGCATGGAAACCAACCAACGTTTCCATGGAAAGCTGCTCTCTTTTTTTGTTTAATTGTCCTGATAAACATTGAAAAAACATAAACATTTCATTTCCAGAGGTCCTAATTCACTGCTGGCTGTGGTTTCACATCATGTTGAGGTGTGAAAGTAATATCTTTTTTATTTGTAGATTTTTTTTGCAGTTTATTAGTTCATTTAACAAGGATAATGCACAACAAATAAACATTACTGTAAATGTGGCAGAGTTAGCTGAAAGGCTACTTTTCACCTCCTTGGACAAGAGTCAAGATGGTATCAACCAAATTATTTAGACAATAAAAGGAGAAAACAAAGAAATGACACACTAGTTTTTTCATTTAAACAAACACATCGTCCAGGCCAACTCTGTTTACGTAGGCCGATTAAATCTAAGGGTCAAATGATCTAAATGAAGGAATATGTTCAAACACAAAGTAAAAGTTTTCAGAAAACAGGAGACATTGTCAGTTTTAGCAAAGACATTTTCTGTTGCTTAATATTGTTTCATCCCTGGAATTTTCTGCTCAACATTTCATTTTTTAGATAAATTGATAAAAATTTAAAAGATGGCTCTTTCTTTTCTCTATTATCTAACAAGCTTTGAAATGGACTGTTGATCTAACAAGGCTGTCATGTGCCCTGTGTTTGTTCTACCTGCAGAGCGGGCGGAGCGCTGCCTCAAGGAACACAAGTCACTGATGATAAACTGGTTTTTATGCGACCCCTGAACTTCTCTGACGGGGACGCCTATGAGTGCATGGCAAAGAACAAAGTGGGTGAAACTAAGGCGACGGTGAAGATTACTTTGGGAGGTAGATGACTGCACCATCAACATGGCGCACTGACACTCGTCATGACAATAAAAAAAATTTAAAAAGTTAATCTAATCTCTCCTCTGTCCTGTTCCAGAGTCTTCGCTGGTGGACCCCTTTGGCAACATGATCTATGTGGGGGCTGGGGCCGCTGGGCTCTTTATCTTGATGATGATCGTCATCATCACCCTCACTTGTCACCACAAACGCAAGAAAAAGAAGCTGAAAAATGAGCTGACTAAGAAAACGTATGAGAGAACATAATGTTAATTAGGATGAGATAACTTTAAGCATCTCCACAATGCAGAATCAAAAACTTACGATGGAGCTTTAGGCCCACGCTTAGAAATAAAAATTTACATTAAGAGAAAAAAGTCGTAATATTACGAGAATAAACTCGTAATACGTCCTGGGTTGGCTCGCACCTGCTGTGGACCATATACATATATGTAGACACCTCAATGAGCGTTGAATCATGCGTCCAAGTTGCCGGCGATTTGAATGTGGCAAAAGTGAAGCAATAGACAGAAGATGCCTCATTCACAGTGGAAACATGCAAAAAGCTGAACAAGACTGTTCTTTTCCGAGGTTTAGAATTTGCACACATACACACACACACACACACACACATATATGTATATATATGAAATGTGTATATATATA